TTTCCCAAGGCTTCTTGCTTTTAAGGTGCCAGAGATATGGAGGGGAGGCAATGGCTGGCTACTCATGGAGCAATGGCACTGGGATTTCACATTGTTTCCAGGTGAACAAACAGGAATCACGAATGGAATGAGTTGAGAGCGTTCTAGGCTCGCTGTCAGCCTGCCATGCCCAAAGAACAGCTGCATCACCATGGTAATGTCAGAGCGCCCTGGCTGACTGACGCCGAGGAAGGAATCCTGCGATGGCAGGAGGCTATTTTATTATACGTCTACCTGCCACACATACAGCCCCACCCACGCCGCGCTGAGCTCACCTGCGCCACAAAGGAAGTCTCCATCAGGACTGTGTCTGATGTCCAGACAGCTGTAAAGAACATAAGCACGGCCACACTGGGTCAGAATAAAGGTTCCTTTAGCCCAGAGTCCTGTCTGCCCACAGCGGCATGGGACATTCTCCTTGCCTCTGGAATTTGCTCCCTGCCAGGATCTGACAGGGCCCAGACTTGTTAATATTTGAGGAACCACCTTTCATCCCTCCTTTCTCACCAGCAATGGGGACTAGCTCCAAAACCCACAGAGGACAGCGAGAATCTTCCAATAGACTTTGACAGGTTCTCAGCAAGGCTGGAAGTGACAGGGGGCACTTGTGGGGCTGTTGCAAAGGAGACCACGGCACTGGCCCATAGCACTACTGGACGCTGGCTTGTAGGGACACCTCCGGTGCAATATCTTGACAAAGGGCACACTTGTGTAATACGGACATGACCGGGCTTTAGAGAAAAAAAAATACCCTCTACTAAACAACAACAATGGTCAGGGCTGCCTGTGGGGTCGCCAGATGGTTTAAAAAAAATACCGGACAAAAATTGTGTGTCAAGCAAAAAAAAAAAAAAAAAAAAAAACCACTGGGGAAAATTTATCAAGCAAAATCAAACCCTGAGGGGAGGATTCGGGAGGTTGGGCTGAAATGCGGTCGCGGCCTGCCCTTAAGACCGGCTCTGTCGGTGGCCCCTTGAAAATGGCGGCCTCAGGCGACCGCCCAGCTCGCCTGCCCCTAAGTCCAGCTCTGACAATTGGCTTACACAGAACATCTTCCAGCCTTACGACTCCTAAAACAATGTAATCACTATGGGGAAAGTTAATCCCAGGTCAGAGCACAAGTCTCATGTAAGTCTCTATTGAAGTGGTGCAAAGCCTTGATCCAGGCCTTTGCACAAAGATGAATTTTACCCTACATAAACAAGTCCCCCTGCCCACCGAAATCCCACCAGCTCTGGGAAGGAACGCACCAGCCAAGTGGAAAACTGGTGGCAAGTATGCCAAACAACAGCAAAAGAGGGGGCATCACTTTTCCTGGCTATAACTTTAACCCTTCCTCCCTCGGCACAACTCTGGACTGTAACGAACATACTTGAAAACAAAATCACACAGCTGCGAAGTCCAAATAATCCAAAGTGCCTTCCCCCCGCCTCGAGAGCTGCATCTTGCCAAGTGAACCGGACACAAAGATAGTGAACAAACAGGCTAGGATGTCTTCTGCCTTTTGTGAAATGAAAATAAATGAAAGGCTCTAGTGTTTCAGGTCACTGATCTTTATCTTGCCTATCTGTACCATTTATCTGAGATACAATGTAAAGGTTCCAAGTCTTTCCCCCACCTGCCAAGCTCATTTCATCTTCTGAATGAAAAGAACCACTTAGACACCTGGTAAAGTAGTAATAAGTTTGTAACAAGGATATTGTTTTCTGGGCCAAAGCAAACATCATCAGAATAGATGAAAGACTCCAGAATAAACAGGTAATCTGTAAACAGACGGCCGGTCTTTTCATTAGTTCGTGGTAGGTTCAGAGGCAGTATTTCTGCACATATATATCTCGCCTTTTATCAGGGGATATCAGAGCACTTTAGGAACAGCAATTAAGCTTCACGATCACCCTTGTGCGATAGGTAAGTAGATTTCGATTAATGAGTGTTTCTGAAAGCAGCAGCCATTGTTAGACTTAATTTAATCTGATCATTGATTTATCTGTTCAAATGGATTGTCACATACATTTGAGAAAGGAAAAAGTTCACCCAACTAAAAGGATTAAACAGACTCAAATAATTCTATGAACAGACTTAATCTTCTCTTTAATAAATCAGACTCATGGGGCAAGATCCCGGCCAAAATTGCACACCCAAATTATTAGGAGAGCAATTTCATGGACCTCAGAATTTGTTCTTGTCCTTCTAAATGGCATAGGAACAAGCATATCAGGTATCAGGGCTGCCATACTTCTTCCGTTTAGATCTTGGTTTCTTCCTACAGCAGCTGGTTTTTACACATTAATGTTCATTATTTTACTGATCTGAGGCTGCATGGAAATTTTGCTGTAATGATTCCCGAGGCCACAAGCTCTGAAACCACGGCAGAATTACCTGGGACCTCATTTCAACTTTCCATTTCTGTGCATCCTTTTAGCCAAGGCACAAGGAAAGTTTTTACAAGTCAGTAACTGCCTGAAATAAACCAGTCAACTCTCCCTTCCCCGAAACCCCAAATAAACCCTTCCTCTCCACTCTTGTAATGCATTATGTAGATGCTGGATTTTCAGGAAGAAAGGTCATCTCTTTGCTTGAAGATTAAAGCCATGTCTCCATTAGGGGGAAGATCGATGCTGCCGTGATCAATCTTCCGGAGTTTGATTTAGTGGGTCTACTAAAGACCCACTAAATTGAATTCAGACGGTGCCCCCGTCGGTGCTGGTACTCCTGAAAGGAGTAAGGGAAGCCAACAGGAGTGTTTGCCTGAGCGTAGGAAATAGAGTGAGATCCAAAGGCAGCTAGGGACACAAGTCTGGAGAAGGAGAAGGAAGTGGACAGGAGTTGTAAGTGGAATAACATGCAATATGGTGTGTTGTCCCCAGGCCCTTGCAAACACTGGAGTATCACAATGCCAGGTGCCCCAGAAGGAGTGAACACAACCCAAGGAAGGGATCCTCACGTGATCCTTCCCCTGTCATCCATTCTCAGACAAACAGAAGCTAGGGACACCATTCCTTCCCATCCTGGCTAATAGCCATCGATGGACCTAGCCTCCAGGAATTTATCTAGCTCTTTTCTTGAACTCTGTTAAAGTCCTAGTTTTCACCACATCCTCTGGCAAGGAGTTCCACAGGTTGACTGTGCACTGCATGAAGAAAAACTTCCTTGGGTTTGTTTTAAACCTGCTACCTATTAAAGGGTTTCCGCAGCCCTTACAGCTGGTCTAGAGCTGGGAGAGGTTTGCAGCTGGTCAGGGAGGCTTGTTCTTAGGATGATGCAAGAGGGTTTTAGTGAATGGAATAGACAGGTCGGGCAGGTTGTCATTATTGGGAGTTGGTCACAACAAGGGGGCTTTTCAGCAACTGGGAATGGACCAGGCTTTCAAGGTGTGGGGCTACAGCAGGCCATTGAGCAAGGAGCGCCTCTGCATATGGCAGAAGGAGACCCCCAAAAAATCCTCTATGCAATTCCCTGCAGCACATCGGCCCCTTCCTCTTCTGGGATGAATTCCTCCTCCTGGAGCCTGGAGGGAGCTTTTACGATGACTGTGCGTGCACAAAAAGGGGGCAGAAACGTGGCAAAGACAGCCAAATGGCTACAATCCGCAGCCAAACGGTCTCCTTCACTCCCGTCTTACTTAAAAATGTGGGGAAGGCAAAGGGCAACAGCTGAAATGCCCGGCTTCTCCTAGCGCTGGAAGGAGCCTGCTGTCGAACCCACGAGAGCTGTGGCAGTGCTAGAGGGGTCGTTTGCACACTCGGCCGCCATTGCTGAACTCTGCGTCCAGTGGCACAAGTAGCACACGGGCCTTATCTTGCCCCACTTTATATGCTCCTCGCCCCCTGGCAGAGGCTGCCCCGGTGAGCACCCCTCAATGCCAGGTTTGTGCTGTCCATTGCATTTGCATTTCTCTGAGGGAGAGAATTATTTTCAGAAATGGTTCCCCCCCTTCAGCCCACACCTCAGTACTCGGGTGCAGGGTATACACCGTCAGAGGCAAAATACGGTCATGCCTTTCCACAGTGACATATCAACCAGTGCGCCAAGGCAGAGGGTAACAGTCGATGAGGCGCAACGTGCCGTGGGCAGAAGAGGGAAAGAAATGGGATTGCACAGATGAGGTTTCATAAAATGCCTCCATTTTCCTTTCGATAGGGCACAGGGGCGTGTTCTGCTAGACTGGCTGAAGCACCCACAGGAAATGGGGTGCTGAGCCCACTAGGGGCTTGTCTACCCGAGGAAACTATTTCAAAATAACTAAGATCGACTTAGTAACTCCCGAAATAACATCGAAATAGCATGTCCTCACTACCAGGAAGCCTCGAAATGAGTCCGAGGCAGGCCCCGTGCATGTGGATGCGCTACCTCGACTTACAGCCCCCGGAAGCTCTGGGGAATAATTAGTTCAAATGACTCTGAGGAGAAATTATTTTGAAATGGCGGCACCAGAGCATCCACACACCCGCTATTTCGAAATAATAAACTATTTCCAAATTAGTGCTATTCCCCGAAGAAATCAGGAGTGCAGATTTCGAAATAACGGCTTGGTAGTGCGGACACTCCGCTTATTAATTTGACCTAAGCGGGGTTATTTTGAAATAAATCCCGAGTGTAGACCAGGGTTAGTGGGGCTTTGATTCTCTGGATCTGATCCTGCAAGATGCAGAGCTCTCTTGACTCCAATTTATCTGCCTGGGTGTCGGGAGCAGCCCTCAGGACCATGCAGTATCCAACCCTAAATCCCTGCACCACGCTGAGTGGAAGCCTTTTTGCCCAAGACAGATCAAAGGGTTTCAGGAACAAACCGTTTTTCTAATTCAGTTTCACAGCCACATTTTTTCTGATGCACCCCTTGCGTAAGCTACGAAACAGGTGGCCCACTGGAGTGCAAGGCTGCGACCTGTCTTTCCTCAGACAAACACATTCATGTCAAGCCTTTGGACTGGCCCCGGGTGGGTCCCGGTTCATATTCTTACCATATTTGTCTCCATCTTCCCCCTTGGCACTGATCCTCCTGCCTAGAACTTGGATGTGTTTCCCACTCGTCCTGCTGTACAGCTGGTAAAGTCTGAGCTGTTTCCTGCTCACATCGTCCCTTGCCCGCGTCTGATTCTCCACGTGTATCCGAAAATCCACATTCTCTTCGGCCACGAACATCTGATGGAAAGAGAGACCAGAGACCGTGACACAGATGCAGCGTCTTGCCTACGAAGACGACAAACCAAGCCTGCCAAAGAGCACCTCACACAGAAATAGCCCATTGTGGCCGGACGTCACGGGATGGGGGCAGTGGGGAGTCATTTGTATAAAGGCTGCATGATCAGAGGCTCTGATAAAAGTTCTACCTAGGTGCTGACAAAGAAACTGAGTTTCTTTCTTCTCACCCAGTCTCAGGGTACGTCTACACTGCAACACTATTTCGCAATACCTAGCGCTAGTCCGAAATAACTTAGTCCACATCTACACAGCAGGCAGTTATTTTGAAATAGTGTCAAAATACTGTCAAGTTGGAGGACTTCTTACTCCGAATCCTGTAGCCCTCATTGTATGAGGAATAAGGGAAGTCAGAGGAAGAGCGCTCTATTTCAAAATAAGTGCCGTGTAGACACTCCCTGTTTCAAAATAAGCTATTTTGTAATAAGATATGCAGTTGACATAGCTCATTCTGCGTAGCTTATTTCAAGTTAATCCCTGCAGTGTAGACGCCCCCTCAATAATAAATAGGGATGTAAAATCCTCTTTAATTGGCTAAGCAGTGAAACATATTGTTTAATCGGTTAACGAATTAAAGAGGGCGGTTGGGGGGAAGAGCTGCTATAGTGGCTACTGCTATCACAAACTAGCCACGTTATCCTGGAAATGTAAATAATTTTGTGAACCAATTAGCCACACTCAACTGGCCAAATAGCCACATGTGGCTAGTGGCTAGCGTGTTGGACACCATGGATCTAGATCATCCCTGACAGGTGTCTGTCTAACCTGCTCTTAAATATCTCCACTATTGGAGATTCCACAACCTCCCAGGGTAATTTATTCCAGTGTTTCACCACCCTGACAGGAAGTTTTTCCTAATGTCCAACCTAACTCCTCTCCCTCCCCTCCTCCCCCAACTGCAATTTAAGCCCATTGCCTCTTGTCCCATTATCAGAGGCCAAGGAGAACAATTTTTCTCCCTCCTCCTTGTAACACCCGTTCTCCATTCTGTCCTACTGGAACGGATGGCCACACAAAACAAACCCAAACCCACACTGGTCCCTTCTTCCACCATCCTGCAAGAGGGCAGATTCCTCGCTCTGAGAGTCAGATGCTGCTGGAAAGTCAGACCCTGAAAAGAGCTTTTGCTTTCAAATACCTGTACATGTATCACGTTGGCGGAAAGACACAAGACACGGGTCAGTAGCAGAAGGGGAAAACCATTAGAAATAGTCTGTCCTCCAAACTCAGCCCCTCACTGAGCAACTTAATCTACAGAAACTTGTATTCCATGTAGCTGCAACATCAATGAAGGTCATGGGTTCTGTAAAATGCAGGACTGACTTTACAGCTCCCTGTTAAACACTAGAATTATGATATTGGTAACCCAAGCTTGCAGACAGCAGCCACTTTGATTTATGACCATAAGATAAGAGATCCAAGAAGAGATAGGAAGAGTTAAACATAAGGGTACGGGTCTACACTGGACGCTTATTTCCAAATAAGCTATTCTGGAAGAAATACTCCAAAATAGCTTATTTTGAAATAGCATGTCTACATTGCAGGGAAGCCTCAAAATTAGTCGGAGGCAGGCTTCCCTAATGTAGACGTGTGGTCTCAATTTAGAGTCCCAAGAGGCACCGGGGAGGAATAACTTAGAATGGCCCTGGTGAGAGGCTATTTCGAAATGGCAGCAGTGGAGCATCTACACACGCCTTATTTCGAAATAGCTATTTCGGTATAGGCATTATTCCTCGCAGAATGAGGTTTACAGATTTTGGAATAAACCGAAAGCAAAGCAAAGGTTTACAAATTAAGAAGCAATCACAGAATAGCAGGCCCAGCCACAAGCTAAACAATAATGAGGTTAAAAGATCTTCCCGCCCTAAACTAATCGAGCCCTGCCCATCAGACTCATCCAAATTACTGGAGCTCTCTGCCAGAGTAAACTGAGTAGGATTAGGCCTACACTGCCAATAGTCCATTTTCCTTTTTTCTTCCTTTCCCCCCATCCTGCCCACCCTCAAATGAAACGTCCAACAAAGGAAATTCAGCTAGCAAAAAAAGAGGTGTTCAAATAATGTTGATGCTCTGCCTTGTACCACAAATGCAAGGGGGGTTGCAGTTAAGACTTTGGCTCCATCATATTCAGGTTTTCCAATCAAGATGACTTTGTTACATCACTTTTTGCCTGTTTTTCTCAACAAAAAAAAGTTGGGATTTCGGAAGAAAACTTCACATAAAGGCCACAAGTTTGCCAAGCCAAACGTGGACTAACCCATCACACAAAAATACCTACTAGTTTGGCATTGCTTCACTTCTGCTTTGCCGTGGATAACTTTGATTTCTACATCAGTCGTGTGTTTCCCTGTTCACTAGCCTGCAATGTCTCAGAGGTGTAACCGTGTTCAGCTGTAACTTTACAGTATCATGAGCTTTCGTGGGCTAAACCCACTTCTTCAGATGAGCTTGAGTGGAGAAAAAAGGGAGACTATTAGAATTAGAATATAATTGATTACAAGAGTACTCCCTTACCTGGCGTGTTTTATTGTGACACAAGGGTGCAGTTTTGTATACCATACTAGCGATTCCATTTCACAATTGACCTTTGGAACCAATCACCAAAGCCCAGTAGAGTGGGTTACCTAAAGGCGAGTGCCTTTTTCCCTTAAAATAGAATCATACAATCACATAAGACTGGAAGGGACCTTGAGAGATCAAGTCCAGTCTCCTGCCGGCAGGACCAAGCACCGTCTAGATCAGTGGTCCCCAACGTGGTGCCCACGGGCTCCATGGCACCCGCCGGGGCATTTGTGCGTGCCCGCCAACCAGTAGAGTGGGTTACCTAAAGGCGAGTGCCTTTTTCCCTTAAAATAGAATCATACAATCACATAAGACTGGAAGGGACCTTGAGAGATCAAGTCCAGTCTCCTGCCGGCAGGACCAAGCACCGTCTAGATCAGTGGTCCCCAACGTGGTGCCCACGGGCTCCATGGCACCCGCCGGGGCATTTGTGCGTGCCCGCCAACAACCTGGACTGTCCCCGCCCCCGGCAGCCCCAACCCCGGGGCACATGTGGGCGCGTGGCGCTCGAGCGGCGCCGGTGCTGGCCCCAGGCACGCGGCTCGGGTGGCAGCGCTGGCCCCTGGCCCACGGCACAAGGCGCTCGGGCGGCCCCAACCCCAGCCCTGGGGCACATGCTGGCACCGGCTGCCAGGTCATCCCCGTCCCCTGGCGTGCGCCCGGCATGTGAGTGACCCCACCCCCCGGGAGCCTCTAAAGGTTGGGGACCACTGGTCTAGATCATCCCTGACATGTGTCTGTTTAATCTGCTTTTAAATATCTCCAGAGATGGAGATTCCACACTCTCTCTAGGCAATTTATTCCAATGTTCAACCACCCTGACAGGTAGGAAGTTTTTCCTAATGTGCAACCTAAACTTCCTTGGTGCAGTTTAAGCCCATTGCTTGTTGGCCTATCCTCAGAGGCCCAGGAGAACAATTTTCCCCCCTCTTCCCTGTGACACCCTTTTAGATACCTGAAAACTGCTATCCTGTCCCCTTTCAGTCTTCTCTTTTCCAAACTAAACAAGCCCGCTTCCTTCAGCCTTGCCTCAGAGCTCATGTTTTCTAGACCTTTCATCATTCTTGTTGCTCTTCTCTGGACCTTCTCCAATTTCTTTACATCCCTCTTAAAATGTAGCACCCAGAACAGGACTGTGGCAAGTCTGGGCTATGCCCCTGGGTCCTGCACTTCCTGGCAGGGTCTTTGTGTGTTGTACAGTTACAAATGAGCAGGAGAATGGAGATGTATCTCTGTGTCACCCAACCATCTTAAAAACCAAAGGGTTTTATTCTCCCTCTAAAAAAAAACCCCTCAGCATATCCCTTTTTAATTAATATTGATTATTGCGGTGCACAAAAAGATCACATTTTAAAAGATGAACATTTCTCTTTTTTTAATCACAACCACATTTCACAGGGGTCGGTTTCTTTGGCAACCCCAGAGGCCCTGAGCCTGCCAATAGACACACGTAAAAGGCTTGATTGAGCCAAACTCCATAGAGTCTGTGGGAACCTTTCCCACTTGGGACTTTGGCACGGGTCCATAGTTAGGTGAGTAGTTCCATTGAACTCAAAAGCACGCGCATAAAAGGTAAGCTCATGTGTAAATGTTTGAAGGATCGGGCCAAACTGCTCTGTTGTCTGCACTGACAAAAAGATTCTAAGCCTTTGTTTTATTTTGGCAAATCAGGGCATTTTCCTAACATTGCAGTAATAGGTATATAGGGGGAGATAGAAAATGATGCAAGAGTTATTTTAGTGGCTGATGCCAGACCAGAAGCCTTGTGATTTGGGACAATCTCAGAAGGCTGGAAAAAGATTCACTATGTCCCAAGGAATAGGTAGCAGCAGTGTATCACCGCTAGCATTGCGTTGTGAATTTTGTACGTATTTCATTTTGCAAGACGAGTGCAAACCTGTCTAGTAGTCGCTTTCTACTAATATGCTGTCCATGAAGGAGAACTTCAGCTGCTCACAGTAACTAGCGGTCTATCCTTCCAACCAACTGCACTGTTGACAATTGTTTATCTTCAATCAAATCTTAATAACTAAAACAGGCAGTATCAAGTTCAGATTTTGTATTTTATCGTTGCATTATTTTTCTTTTTAAGCAGCTCAATACATCTTTAGCAGTCCGATCATTACCTCGTTCTGTTATAATATACAACTACAAAGCCATTGTAAAAATACAAGCAGCCACATAAAAGTTCATGCCAGGGATTAAATAATATCCCTGCTAAAAAAACAGTGAGCATTTTAAATGAGTGATGTATCCTAAATCCTGCACCAGAAACGTGTGCATTTCTGAACATGGGAAATCTCTTTCTTCACCCATGAGTAGATCTGCTTCCTTTGTTTTACCTGTCTAAAGACTCAGACTGTGGCCACTCAACCCAAACC